GGGAAGGGGAGAGGGGAGGAGAGAGAAGAGGAGAGGAAGGGAGGGGAGGGGAGGGGGGGAAGCAGACAGAATTGACTCTACTAGGAAACAAGTCATCAAGCACCAGGGTGGAATGGGCTTTGGAATCAATAAATTTAAATCATGCATCTACCAGTGATATTGGCTGTGTAATCTGGGCTTGCTCAGCCCCACCCTGCCTATTTCATCTGTAAAATGGGCATAATATCTAAACTCACAGGTTGTGGGGAGGGGAAGATCAAACAGCACTGGTAAAGTGCCTGAAAAAAGAAGTGTCTGGGACTGAGGAAACAGTGAAGAGAGACTGGTAGGATGTGGAGGCAATGTCAGTTTATCATCAGAAACTAGGCTCCATGTTGTGGGAGACTGCTTTTCAGCCTAAAGAAGAAAAGTAAGCAAAAGGAAACTTTTCTTTCATTGGTCAGAGGGACTGGGAAGAGACTACGGAGCAGAGCCAGGCACCCAAGCCTCAAAGAGGGGAGCTTCACAAATACTCTGCAGAATAGGAGGGACATTCTGAATAGGCAAGTGTCTACCACCCCATCTTCCATAACAAAACAGCCATGTTCTTTCACTGAATTTCCTTATAACCAACATGTATCTTGGTCCTGTGGCTTAAACGCATGGAAACAGCAACTACCTTGGTTTGACATTCATTAATTAGCTCTTAGCAGTGATAACCACCTCCCCAATATGGCCTAAAAGTTGTCAACATGCAGAGGTGTTAAGCCAAAGATCCCAGTTTTTAAGGAAAGCCATTCAGCCCCCAGAATGAAGAGAACTTGAAAGAAGTGGGGGTTAGAAAAGGAAGGAAGAAAAAAGACTAAGGCTAAAAGCTTGATAAGCAGATAAGAGTATGATGAGAAAGGATCCTTCAGGGAGACCATGGTGAGGGTGAAGAGACACAGCTGAGAAATGAAACTCACCAAGCAAGGAAGTCAGGCAACACGTGAAGCCAAAGGAGATGAAAACAACAGAGGAAATAAGGGAAGGAAAGGAAAATGTGGAAGAATGTTTAATAAAGGATCTTGACTAAGACTTCTGTCAGCAACAAATGACTGAAGACACTTCTACTGTTGTTAGCATCACTGAGTGGGCTACAACTCATAGTGATTCCGCAGCAGCCAACGGAAATGCTACCCAGTCTGGTGCCATCATTGTGACTGCTGGTGGGTGATTGAGCCCATTGTTAGGAGTATTGAGTCCATTCATTTCATGCAAGATTTTCCTCATATTTCTTCTGGGTTTAGAAGCCACCTTTGGGAATGCTACATAAAAGAACTTATTTAGAAATAAAATAAAACAAAACACTCCCATCTGGTTGAAAATTGAGTGTGGGGCATGCAGGCAGGTCTCCTTTCTTCCTGAAGGGCTGTTACCACCTGGCTAGTGTTTCTCATGCGACATTTCAAAATGTAACCTGAAGTCTGGCTATAGAGTTCCTTAATTAGGGTCAGGATTTGCAAACCATGCTGCTTCATATACATCCCCCTAATTCAAACCACCTTATCTAATGTGGCTGATGCAAAGTCTTGACCATTTGTTTTATGTTCAGCTTTGTAACTGAAATGTGTGTGTGTGTAAAATCTTTCTGGTTTCAAATACCATACCAACTTGTTTAGACAAAATGCTGCTAATTGCTGACATCCGAAAAGCAGAGGTCAAGTGTCTTTGAAGCCTATCACATGTTACAAATTTGGACAGGGATCAACTTCATGTAACGTGTTGAGCAGCACCCTCTGACCTCCAGCTCGACTTCTTTACCTTCGTTTGGATTTCTGCCCACGGCTTGTGGTTGATAGGAACATAAGCTAGTGTCAAGGCTCTACTTTCAAACTCTGTCTCAAAATATAAAGATTCACATTGAGAAACTGTTCTCTAAGAGAGGAGATCACTATGATGTAACTGCCTACTGGCCCTCCAAACCTGAACTCACGGTAGCTCCTTACTGTGGGGAATTTTGTTGTTTTCATATCGAAACAGAATAGAATGACTAATAATAGAGAGCTGCAGATAACTCAGAGTAACTTTTGGTGATTTAAAGACATATTAAACAGCAGCATAATCCTTAAAGTGCTTAGAAGATTTGATTCACATAGTGGCCTCCTTCCAAGAGCTAAAGGTAATAGACACAAAGGATAACTTTACCCTTGTTAATGCCCCAGACAAAAGCCTGTGCTAGCAACAGGCCTTGTCAAATAATCGTTTCAGGCATGGGCAGGTTTGAGTTTGAATTCTGACAGAATGACTTATAAGGTGTGACCTTATGAAGAAGTCCATTTTTCTGAGTGACCTTGCAAGGAAGTTACTTCATTTCTTTGAACCTGTACTCTTGAATGTAAAAGATGATCTCCATAGTCCTGCCCAGGTTGAATGTCAATGTCATATATGTGGCTGAGAGTTTAATCAAGTCTGCTCTGATTCTAGGCCACCTTGTTTGTCAGAGGAGGACTGGACTCCATTGCCTTTCCAGAGATCATACTTTTGAAAATAGATTGCAAGATCTTTCTTCTGAAGGGTCTCTGGGTGGACATGAACCTTCAACTTTTCAGTTAGCATGTAAAAATGCTGTATTTACCACCCACAGGCTCTTTGTCATCTGTCTTTCTCTCTCTAGGAAACTATTAGTGAGAGGTTCTCCTATGTGGGGGGAAAAGTGATTTAGCACTCAAAGAAGATAAAGGTTTAAAAACTGGAAAACATAGGACTGAATGGATGAAGTTACTGAAAATAGCTGGCACTCATCCTGCTAAGAGATGTTCATTCGTAGACACATTTCTTGACCGACCAGTGTCAATGTGATAAAGTCTCTGACAGTGATTGATTAACATTTAAGAGATTCAACTTCACTGGAAACTGAGTCAAGATCATGTTTCATTGGTCAGTCAAGTCTATGTAGATAAGGACTTGCAAAAAAACCCCCAAAAAACTTTGCTCACATTCAAAACAATCTGCTTGATGTCAACACAGCCTGTGGATTTTTCTACCCAAAATGTTTTTGTCATCTGGAATGTTTTTGAAATAGAACAACAAATGCTTCAAAGAATAGCAACTATAAAAGTGACTTGTTTTGGGAGAAGTTTGGAAAGCTGAACATTTAAATTTTTATTTTTTTTTTTTTTACTATAAACAGAGGAAGCACTTAGGTGGGGAAAATGAGTATTATTTGGATTAAGGGTTGATCACCTGGGAACTTTTCTGTTCTTTCACAGAGAAAGTCTTGCAGAAGAGGTGCCTCAACCTGAAAGCCTGGAAGAGCAGCCCTTCCCTACCACCCTACCTACTTGGTTATCAATAGTTTCCATTCAACACTGAAAAGCAATAGGAAGAAGTCAGAACAAGTAGGAGTGAAGTCTGGTATCACCGATCTCAATAAGTATCACACACGTAATATTAATTTTCTATACATTTACAGGAAGCCCTGGTGGCACAGTATTTAAGAGTTTAGCTGCTAACAGAAAGGTCAGTGGTTCTAACCTAACAACCACTTTATGAAAGAAAGATGTGGCAGTCTACTTCTACAAAGACGTATCAACTCAGAGGCCCTATAGGGCCATCTTACTCAGCTTTATAGGGTCTCTCTGACTTCAAATTGACTCAGTGACAATGGGTTTCGTATAGAGACTTTCACCAAGGACAGATGTGGTAGAATTCTCATTTTCCATGCAGGAGATCTAGGTTCAATTCCTGGCTGGTGTATCTCAAATACAGCTATCATCTGTCCATTCATGGAAGTTCACGTGTTGTGATGATGCTGAATAGCTTTCAGCAAAGCTTCCAGACAATGACAGATTAGGAATAAAGGCTTGGTGACCCCCTTCCAAAAACTAGCCAACGAAAATCAAACAGGACACAAGCGTCTGAACATTTTGTGCTAAAGCAGACTGGACAGCAGCTAACAGCCACAGCATACTTATACAGAGCTTGGATTTGATGGAGTATCATTTATCCTCGTTATGCTATGAGCTAAACAAATCTAGGAGCCGTTTTCCTATTTCTCAGATCAGAAGACTATTTTATCCTGGGCTAGTGAGTTGGGATCAATTCATGAACTCAAGTCTAACTTCTAAACTCAGACACCACATGTCCCATTAACATCCCTTTAGTTACAGAAGTTCAGCGTAGAAATGTTGATCTCCTTGAGACACCCTTCTTTCTAGGCTTCATGTCATACAGCAAAATAACATCTCCACTTAAATATGAGGATGTTCAGACACCCACTTGCCAGTTCCTCTAGAATTCCCCTGTGCAAGATGGGGATATCGGTGTGATTTTGGAAAGAGGGTTTTCCTAAAGGGCTGGAAGACTCTTAAAAAGAGGTGTCATACCGAGGCAGAGAGCTGTACTGGCGCTGGGCTTGCTGAAAGCTCTCCCGTTCCTCCTGCCGCTGCCGCTGCATCTGGACCTCGACGGACACCGAGTGCCTGCCGCTTTGTGTGTACGGCTTGGAGTTTGGCTAAAGGAGAAGAAAGCAGAATAAATAAGGAGAAACGACTCCTCTTCCATAACTTAAAGGTTTGCAAATCTTAGTGACTGATTGAGAAATAAATTGGAAGTTCGATGGTTGAGTAGTAGTTAGCTGCCAGCTGAGAATTAATGGTTCAAACCTCCCAGCTGCTCCTTGGGCGCAGGATGTAGCATTCTGCTTCCATAAAGATTCAGTGTAACTCACAGAGTCAGTGTTCACTCAACAGCAATGAGTTAGGTTGAACCTTTTGACTCAAAATTGACCCTTCTTTGTGATTCTAAGGCTTCCATAAACCATTCAAGAGGAGATTGCCCATCTTTCACCCAATGAGTTAATTCAATGGATTCAAACAGCCAGAGTGGTTTGGCCTTTGGGTTAGCACTGCAGTTCCCTTCAGATTATGCCACCAGCCATTTCTCTGAAAAGACTGCATCTTTGAAAAGCCTGTGAGGCAGTTCTACTCTGTACTATAAGGTCACTAAGAATCGGGATCAACTTGATGGTGATGGGAAAATCCTAACTCTGTAGAGATTTTTTTCAGTCCCCCCAGCTAAACACAGATGCCTTTGTGTATAATATACCTGCCTGGCTAATAACTGAGAGGTTGGTGGTTTAAATCCACCAGCTGCTCTGTGGCAGGAAGATTAGGCAAATCTCCTTTATTTACAGCCTTAGACACCTGATGGGGGTGGTGGGGTCACTGATTGGGAACCTGCTCAGTGACAGTGGGTTTGGTTGGCTGAGCTGAATTCGAGAGGTCGCTGGGCGGCCCAGGCTTTAGGTAGTGGGTCTTATGTTGTGGTGTCTTGCACCAAAATCCCTACACCGACTTCACACATTGTGAGTTATCATGAGCTAATATCAAATTGATGGCACAAAACAACAATATCAAGCACAGAAGTCAGTCCCTGTGGGTGTTGCAACTCTTTACACGCAGTTGTCAGATTACCTTCTGGACTGGACACTATCGGCTCTATCTGGCCATTTGAAATGAAAATCACTCTCCTCAAAAAAGGACAACAATGCCACTAACTTTACAAAACATCAAACAACAGCTTATCATAGCATCAGTGACAAATTCTTTAAGTAATCTTTGTGCTGCTTGCTAACCTCTGCTCTCTCTTTGTGCTATGCAACATTGTGTACTAGGCATATTCTGAGCATTAAAAAAAAAGTTATTGATTTTTCTTTTAGAGTTGAAAGTCAATGGCAGTCTTCGACTGGGTAATAATTTTCTAAAATAACAGCCTTGCCATTCATTTGGAGAGTCTTAAGATAACAAGTTGGTTTGTTACCTCAAGAATGACGCCTAAGGTTGGCTTTTGTCTGAGCAGAAATCGAGCCCTGTCTATTGTTCTCTTTCTGCCTGTCCAGCACTCTCTTATTTGGTACTAAGCAATAATAAGGCAATATACAGAACAAAAATTTCTAAGCATATGGCCATAGCCAGTGAGCATATTAAAAATATCCCGATACAAAAATAATGTATAAAGAGATTAGTCTTTATAATACCCCAGTCTCTACTAGTGGATGTTTATAACCACACTCACTGGAACAAATGTGTGTGCAGAGATCTGCTCCAAAATGCAGTTCAAATAACACATCAGTGGTGCCTTCAGCAGGAAAAACACTGCATGAAGTAGGTTCTGCTTATGCAAACAAAGCATCAACGATTCTTCATCAGCTACGGTAACGGAGATAGACAGTTCCTTCCATTACACTTGATGAGGTTGGTCAAAAGGAAATGGAGCTGTTTTAATGTTCATGGTAAGCTGTAGGATGCTTGGAAGAGGCCAATGGGCACAGGAAAAACCAAGCAAGAAAATGCTACACCATTTCTGTGGTGCCCTCAAAAAGAACCACATTTTCTCTCCTTTTCAGTCAATAGATGCTACATCCATGTGTCAAGAAGTCTTGAAAGATCTGGCATTCTGCAGCAGGATTTAGTAACCAGCTTTCTCAGCTCATGCTGTTCTGTGACACACTGCTTGTGGAGATGTGAAAAGAAAATGCAAGGTCTTGTAGAAATTTCAGGTGTATTTTTAAGTTGTTTTTTCCCAGAGGCCTGGAAATTGGATTCTGACAGAAGGAAAAGAAGCTGAAGAGCTTTTGTTTCCTCAACTGTATGTCTGCTGACACTGTTCACCTCACACCTTATCAGCAGCCAGCATCTCACTGGATCCTGAGAAACCCCAATAAAGGAATTATCATCACATGGGAACCTGAAAAACTTAAAATGAAGGAATGAGTTTTATATCAGCAAACTGACATTATTTCATACTATCATGCACGCTATGATGAAATTGAAACCTAAGCCTGGCCATTAATATTTTACACCATTCATTGCTCTTTTCAGAGCGTGCTAAAGAGATAGGTATTAAAAAGAACCACCTTGATCTTTAAGATAAAAACTTCCACGGGCCACAAGATTACACGGTAGATTGCATACATGACCAGCTCACAGCAACAACTAAACAAGTGCATTCGGCCAAGTTTTCTATTTGACCTGAATCTAAAATAACCTCTCTAGTTCACAATGTCAATGAGGTTCTCATAAAAATGTAAATTGTGGGAACGGTATTACACTTGACAGTTCTGACTTAAATACTGCAGCTTTAATCCCTAAGGCAGAAACAAAAGAGTGTATCTGGGTCCAAAACACGAAAGAAAGAAATGAAGAAAGAGAGAATTTGTAAGTCCAAAGAGACATGCATAGGTTCCAGTAAAGCAATTTCAACAAGATAAACAACAAAATTATATCTGTACAGAAAAACAGGCATATCAGCATGATTGAAATTATTTCAGTGCTTCATCAGAAAAACAAAACAAGGGCTGAATTAACAGTGCAAATTACAAACAACCCTGGCCTTGTTTGTGATGAAATTGGTGACAAGCAATGACCTTTTAAATACAAAAATTGCCAAGGCTGCAAAGGCCATAACAATAGAAGTTGTAAGGGATAAACAAATACACTATTATCTATTACAGAGAATACGGGAAGAGCCATGATACATAAATCCTTTCATGGCTAATGTTTAAAACCACACGTTAGAGGTATGCAGGTTGCTTTTGTAAATGAACCACAAATAACTGGTCTTTATCACGGTTATATGATTATATTTTAAGCTGGGGAATGCAATACAATTTTAGAAATATGAGTATAAAACAAAATACATTTTAAAAATGTCCATCACTTGTAGCAATTTGCCAAATATAGAAATTAAGCACTTTTGGTGGGGAGATTAATTAAATGATATCTTTCTGGCTTTTCCAAAATAAAAATAGGAAGTAGAAATTAAAATATAAAATAAAAGCCATAAAAAGCTGGGAAAATTGAAGAACCAAAATAAATATTTGTTTGTTTTTGTTGTTGTTATGTGCCGTCACGTCGCTTGCGACTCATAGCAACCCCATGTACAACAGCCCTAAACTCGGCTCTGTCCTGTGCCAATTGCACTGTCTCCGATACACCCATCCCGATTACCCAGTCACCAAATCAATCCACCTCATAGAGGGCCTTCCCCTCCTGCGCTGTCCCTCCACCCTCCCAAGCATGATGTCCCTCTCCAAGGATCGGTCCCTCC